TTTTTTATTGCTTTAGTTAGAACAAAATTAAAAATGAATTATTTTCGATATTCAAAAAAATAAAAATGTTATTTAATTAAAAAAAAAATACCAAAAGCAATAATTTCTTCATTACAAGCAAAAGCTTTTTGAATAATTCAAATAGGATGCTTAGTTCTCTCAAAAACTGCAATTGTTTGCACATTTAGCCTTGTATCTTTGAAATGGCTGGACCTGCCTTTGCCAAAAACTATTCGCCTCTTCTCCCAATCATTACAAATTGAATGTTTTTTGGATCATTCAAATCGGATACTCCGTTCTATCAGAAACTTGATTTGTATATTCTGCACTTTTTGCTCCGTATCTCCGTAACGGCTGGACCTGCCTTTGCTAAAAACTAATCAACACATCTCCCTATCAATAGAAATGAAATGTAAATCATTCAAATCGGTTGATCCGTGCGCCCGAAAACGTGGACGAAAAAATGCGGACATACAAAACACACACACATATCTATTGTTTTCTGATGTATGCTAAAATGTTCAGAAACCTTCAAAACGTCGAAAAAATGCAAAAATTTTCATTTTCGATTTTCGGCCCATTACTATAACTACCCTACGGGAAGTTAATAGCGAATAATTAATAATATATAATATTAGAATTTATTATTTATTATTAATAATATATTATTATTTATAACAAGTAATAATTGGCTATCATTTATAATAATGTTTTTCCATCATTATTTTAATAAATCAAAGAAAATCTTCTCAGATTACTCCACTACAAAGATGAAACTCCCGCTTGCATAATTCTCGAAGATCTAAAGGAATCTGGTTATGTTTTAGCTGACAGGAAGACGGGGATGGATTTAGATCATTGCAAGTTGTTTTTAAAAAATAGCAAGGTACATGCAGCTGGAAAATTTTATATGAAAAAGTAAGCATATAATATTGTTTTCGATGATCGATTGTATTTTATGTTATAACTATAGTGTTGCATGACATCGTGTCTTAAGCAAATTTTAGGAACTTTCCGCACCGTAATGAAATATTAAAAAAATTGCAAATGTTTTCAAAAAGAACATTATAAAATTGTGTTTATAAACTGAGCGACGACATTTATATATGTTTACATAAAAAGTAAATAAACAAAGAAATTAATTAATTAATTATTATTAATTAATATTTATAAGAATTATGTAAACAGAATAGCAAAGTTTTAATTATTTATTTGAAGTGGGCTTCAACATATTAGTCAGTTTAACATTTTCTCGTTTTTCGTTCCTTTCGTATGTGCCGGTCCTGGGGTCCTTAGCGCCCGCATGCAGCTTTTGTTCTAGCGCCCCCCCCCTATCTATATCAACTGTTTCAACAGTTTATCATTAAATTTATATAAATATCTACATATTTTTTTTAAATTAATTTTTAATTATTTTGGATTTAGTACACAAAAAATAGATTTAATCTAAAAGCGTATAAAATATATTGATTTTAAATTTATTTAGAAAATCGAGGCGATTTGCGGGTTGATTATAATCAAATATTTTTAAAATTTCGATTATTTTTAACGTATGTGCAATATTAATATATGGGTTAAATAATAAAACATTTTACTTATTTATTATGCGATTCAATCTATTGAGCAAATCATGCCAAGAGAGCTAAAAAAACTAGCTTTTTATTTTCAATCATAACACTCACATTTCATGTTGGATTATTTAAATTTAAATTTAATTTAATTTTTCATCATTTACAATATCCAAAATTGCGTCGTAAACTTCTCCTTATTGATATCGTAAGAGCCGATTTGTATTTATCCTTGCTTTTCCGTCATATTCAGAGTATCAGTTTGTTGTTTTAAAGTTAAATTTTTAAATGTATTTTAAAAGTATTGTCCAAAAATCAGTAAAAAATACAAAGAAACACATATTTCTTAAACTATATTGAAAAAACAACTTATTATATTTGATATGTATTATTTTTTCATAGTTAATAATATAAATTTAGAATATGAACACCGCTAGTTATAAAAAAAGCCTTAATATTTTCGTTCCAAAGTAAATTTTGCTACCATTTTCATATTTGCTCCATATTATGTTTCTTGACCCTTAACGAACATAATATTGAAATTACAGACTGACTAAAATGATTTGAATTTAAAAAAAAAAGAATAAATTAGCGTCTGGCACATATTTGGCAGCGCCCAAAATGACTGGCAACAAAAAATGTGAGTCTGGTGAACCTATTCGAAGACAAAAAAATGAAAATTGGACTGACTAAGATGCTTTCAAAATTTTGAAATCGCGCTGTACAAGTTGGCTACGCACTAATTAACGCAGCCACTTCCGGCTGCCAGACGGCCCGTATTCCGACCGAGAGAGCACCAAGGACCACATCCCAAAAAAACAGTCTGGTTAAAATGCTTGTTTTGAAAACGTTTCTGCCTCCTATACTATAACCACGCATATCTTCAATGTTCAAAGTTCATCAGATGCGAAACATTTTCAACAAAAACAAAAGTTATACTATTCAGTTTCTCGGTCTTAATGAGCCATTTTCTAAGCATTGACTTCCCATTTTCCATTTTTCTATTATAATTTGAATCTATTTTGTTAACAAGTTTCGTTCAAACGCAATTTTTCGTCAATATTGCCCAATAATTTAAACTTTCGTAGGGTTGCGCTTATGGGATTAAACACTAGATGATTTCTTTTTCGATTCCACATTAACTTCAAACGAAGAAAAATTGAATAAGTACATTAAACAACAAGCAGAACAATAATTTACTAATTTGCAGAGTAATGAATTGTTTCTACTGATATCACATTGCAAACTGAATATGCTTTTTCTGTCTCCGTATTCGTAGAAGTTAGATTATTTATTATAACCTTTTAAGTATTCTAGATTTTATATTAAAAAAAAAATGTGAATAATATATTATAAATTTCATTTCCGAATCTCGTTTTGGCGCCCCCTAAGGCGTGCGCCCGCATTTTTTGCATGCATCGCATGCAAGGCAGGACCGGCCCTGTGCGTATACACACAATTTCTTTCTAAGGTATGCCAGAATGGTCAGAAGAGTTCAGAACGCAATGATACGTAAACATTTTGATTTTCGATTATTTTACGAATACCATAACTTGCCATACGGAAAGTTATTAAGAAAATACGACTCCCACCAATCTGATAATTTGCACAATCATTGTACGACTTAAAATATCATATTATTTTTAAATATGCTGATATGAATTAATTAGGCAAAAACATGTAAGGAAAAAACAAACAAAATAGAAATCTGTTGACGTCCGCTTGAAGTTTGTACGAGTGTATCTATAATGTATTATATAAGTGTTCAGGGCCATTTAAATAATTTCGTTTAATTCCGCATGATAGACAAGGCATGTCGAGTCATGTTAGATCAAATCATATATCGTAATGTAAAGCCATCATATTTAGTGCTTGTTTCTAGTATATAAATTGAAATTAAAACAATTAATATTTATATTTATATTAATATTTATAAAATACAATACAATTATACAATTACAGATATTATATGTAAACTTAATTTGTAACTTATATTAATACATAACTTATATAAATAATTTAGAAAACAAATGTTTACTAATAACATCATTCAAAGTTTCGTTTTAAAAATAACTAAAAACTAGTTGGTATTGGTATTTTGCCTTGAGGCAAGTTACATAAACTTTACGATATGTGTAATTAATCGACTTAATCAATAGAAAATAAATTAATTTATGAGTGATTAAAAGTATTCCGAGTAGATTTATTACACATAATTGAAAACGTACGAACACGTTAACAATGAGAATTTTCTAAAAGCAAATTTTTAAAAATTAATAATTTTTATAATTGAACAAGTTTCCGTACGACTTTAATGGTTTAGTATATTCATTAAGACCAAGTACTCCACCGTTATACCAAGTAAATCGTATAATTTTAATTTTAACAAACAAAAAACTACTCATTTTCTCAAAATTTGATGATTTTTTAAAACTAAACTACTTGTCGCGAGGTCGTAATATTTCAATAAGTTGTATAAGACCATGATATATATCATCAAACAAAGTTTCATAAAAATCGGCTCAAATGTTTCTTTCGACAACGAATTACAAGAAAACGGCTCGGTAGATTTTCATCTAAAACTAATCAGCATCATTTCCAACTAATATCTTTCGAACAGTTTTTGATTTTTTTAAATCGATTCGGTAGTATGAGCCTAAATGTGGTCAAAAAGTTTAATACCTTTTTCCAAATTTCAAAGGAACAGCTCAGCCGATCGTCGCATAAAAATGACAAACGATAGTCCTCATCGAGATACATCGAATGGTTTTTAAATTTTTGAAATCGGTCCAGCCGTTTTTTGAGAAAACGTCGATTTACGGCAAAAAATCTGGTTCACATACACACACACATACTCTTTAAAAATTTGGTCTCATTCGATTCAGAATGGCGAGAAAACCTAAAATTGCGAATCGGATTTTTTGATGAAAACATAAACTTCTCCTTCGGGAAGTTAAATTTTTATTCATTATATATACAAACATAAAATCGGTGTTATTATATTTTAGAATTCTTCGAAATTCAAGCCGTTTACAGAATCTTTTATCAGCTGTACAAAAAATGATTCTATGGAAAAGTTTTGTAATGCATGTATTGGAGCAACAGCGGAACAAGCAAGACAATGGGGTGAGGATTATTTCACTATAGCAGACAAACTAGTAAGTAACTCAAAAAAATATTGCTAGTTAATTGAAAATTTAAATTAGTGGATTATTAATAGATTTATATTCGAAAATTGAAATCAAAAACCCGTAAAAGCCCTGAATATTATTTTTTTAACTTTCATGTGCCATTATGATTAATTTCAGGGATATTTATTTCTCATTTAACAATAATTACTATTCTTTATTTTTCAGGATAAGATCAAATTTGAAGTAATGGACAGATTAAAAATATTGTATAGAGCAGATTGTCCGTTCAGTGTTGTGAACCATGGAGATTTGTGGGTCAACAATATGATGTTTAAATATGACGAAGGCCAGATTGAAGATGTAATATTGGTGAGTAATAATGAAATGATCTGATCATTTATTATCATTTTTTTGGTTGACTATCAGAATATAACATATTGTGACGAGTTAGTGGTGATGCCGCCTTCTTGGAGATTGCAATGACTGCCAAATATTATATCTTAGTATTGCATCCCCATTACGAAAGAGTTACTCCAACTTCTCAACCCGACTTCTGTAAACACCCTGTAATTACTTGTGGAACTAACATCACTGCTACACGAATGAAACATAATGTACTTTTATCTTATTTATTTTAATTAATTATCATTATAGATCTGAGGGCATGACTGTACCTACGTACAGTCATGTCCTGTGCCTAAACTCTAACGTACTGATAAATCTTTATTAATTACTAGCGGATTAACGTAACGTCGGATTAACGGACTGACGGCCTAACGTAAACGTAGAGAATAGCTAATAAACAAATACATCTGACCTTTGCTGAAACAGGTTCTTCTCTCCTGGCACAACACACACACTACTATACACTAAGCGAGCCCAAGGGCTGGCGCCTGGACCCGACCGACCTCTTCGGAAGATATTACATATTTTTATGCTTGTTTTCATCCCTCGACTTGGGCCTTATTTTGCATGAACCCTTGTAGAGATGGGTGGAGGGATGCCATTTTCACAGAAAGTTGTGCAACCCTTTGGTGACAATGCCAATTGTCGTTACAATATGAATTTTGGAAAATTATAGGCAAAATTATTTGAACTAGAAGATGATTATTTCAAATTTTGTGATGGTGTAAAGTAAATGTTTGACATATTCAGGTTTAATTGATCTTAATATATATCTAAACGAATTGTAAAAATGCAATCATCAAAAGTCTAATTTTTTATAGCTGGACTTTCAATGTATGTTCTACGCTTCTCCTGCAATTGATTTATTATATTTTATATATGGATCATGTAACGAAGATGTATTTTGGAATAACAGAGATGAACTTCTTCGTTATTATCACGATAATTTAACTTATGTTATGCAACAACTTCAATATGATGGATACATACCTACGCTTAAGGATGTAGAAAAAGAACTCGATCTTTGTAAATTTATGGGTAAGTAATAGAATTTATATTATTCATTGTGTAGGTTTTAGAAGTAGAATTTATGTTATTCATTTGCGCGGTTTTAAGGTGCACGAGTAAAACGGTCTGCCACCGATATCTCAAAAACAAGTAAAGTTAAGTCTTTTTTAACAACAATGTTCGATGTCCGAGGGGAAATAATGTATAACTAGTTATCACTTCGATTTAAGCTTAAATTAGGTAAGAATCTCGGAATTCGAGATACCCAGCTATAAGTCTGTAAATACTGTATATTGACACCCTAAAAGTTGTCTCAAAACCTACATATGGTATTGACACCCTACCATATGTAGGTTTTGAGACAACTTTAGGTTGTCAATATACAAGTATTTACAGACTTACAGCTAGGTATCTCGAATTCCGAGGTGAACTTACTATAATGACTGGACTATGTATATTTTTTATAATAAGAAAACTTAATGTATCAAAATTCACAATTTTTTATGTCACGCTCATATGACATTTCTATTTGGTGATAAAGAGCAATGTTTGAAAATCTAAAACAAAAAATCATTGCTATTTTTTTTATTGTGAACATTTTTGTTTAGTTTACGAGGCATTAATATAATTTTTAAGTATACGTTATTTAATTGTTTTATAAGATGTATTGTTAATTTCAATTAGATTCAACAGGTTTTTGAAGTGAGGTACGACAGATGAGAGTCGATAAGATACGAGTCGAGTGCCAATGATTCGTCAATCGCTTTCGACTCTTATCTATATTATTCGTAGTTTCTATAAATCTTTAAAGTTATTAAAATGGAAAATATTTTTCAGGCAATTTTTATAAAATAATCATAAAATAGATAATTTTATGTGCATATGTTAATTGATAATTTTCAACCACCAAATTTTCTTTTTTTGGATCACCAAAAACGTTAAAAATTTTTGATTTTGATTTTTTTACTCAGATAGAGAACGGGGCTCTCTAAAAAAAACTATTGTAATTTTTCATCATTTTGCCTCTATTCCGAAATGGGTAAACCTGTATTTACTAAAATACTAATCAGCACATCTTCCCGATAATTGAATCATTTAAATCGGATGACCCATCTCGAAATCGTCCGCGAGAACACATGCATATATCCATTTTTCCTAAGGCATGCCAAAATGTTCAGAAGATTTAGAAACGTGAATATATATAAACAATTTAGTTTTTTTGAATTACTATATCGTAATATAATTTACCTGTGAAGTGAAAGCCAATAAGCAAACCAAAGTGTCAGATATTTTAGTTTAGGATTCAGTTTTAGCCTATAGAATTTATTTTGAAAGAAAAAAAATGTATAGGTATACAAACAAAGACAAATCATTAAATTATCACTTAATAACAATTAATATATTATGTTAATTTGCTATGGTTTTATTTAATACCAAAAATAAAATAAGAAACCATCGAACAATTTTGAAGGCGTTTTATATGTAAGATTCACCTTAACTAAGTTACAAAAAATGAACATAGCTTTAATATTTCTCCAAAAAAACTTATCAATTTGATAATCTTTATTTTAACTTTATTATTCATTAAACTTTTAACTTCCCGAAGGAGAAGTTTATGTTTTCATCAAAAAATCCGAATCGCTAATTTTATGTTTTCTCGACGTTTCGAGCCATTCTGAATCGAATGAGACCAAATTTGGAAAAAGTATGTGTGTGTGTGTGTATGTGTGTGTGTGTGTGAACAGATTTTTTGCCGTAAATCGACGTTTTCTCCAAAACGGCTGGACCGATTTCAAAAATTAAAAGCCATTTGATGTATCTCGATGAGGACTATCGTCTCTGAGCTTTGTGCGGCGATCGGCCGGGCCGTTTCTTTGTAAATTGCAGAAAAGTGAAAATTTTTTCGTCCACGTTTTAGCCCGCAATTCTGAATCGATTCTGAAAATTCAAAAACCGTTCGATAGATATTGGTTGGGAATCGTGCTGATTAGTTTTTGATAAAGATCGGCCGGGCCGTTTTCTTGTAATAAAGTTTAAAAAAAAAAAATCGACGATTTTTATGATTATTTTTTTGACGATTCTAGGTCATACTAAAATATTACGGCCCCACGACAACTGGTTCAGCTTTAAAAATTCGTCAAAGTTTGCAAAAATCAGTATGGTCTTTTTGGCATTTGTCAAAATTAGACTTTTGATCGACGTTTTTTCAAAAACGCCTGAACCGATTTTAGAAATTTAAAAGCCATTTGATGTATTTCGGCGAGGATTATCGTTTGTCAGTTTTGTGCAACGATCTGCCAAGCCGTTTCTTTGTAATTTGAAAAAAGTGTTAAACTTTTCGTCCACATTTAAGCTCAAACTACCGAATCGATTTTAAAAAATCAAAAATTGTTCGAAAGATATTAGTTGGGAATGGTACTGATAAATTTTAGGTGAAAATCTACTGGGCCGTTTTCTTGTAATTAACTGTTGAAAAAAAGTGTTAAACTTTTCGTCCACATTTAAGCTCATCCTACCGAACCGATTTAAAAAATCAAAAACTGTTCGAAAGATATTAGTTGGGAATGATACTGATTAGTTTTAGATGAAAATCTACCGAGCCGTTTTCTTGTAATTAACTGTTGAAAAAAAATTTAAGCCGATTTTCATGGAACTTTTTTGGCTATATACATCATGGTCTTATAGAACTTACTGTAATATTACGCCCTTACGACAAGTAGTTTAATTTTAAAAATTCGTCAAACTTTGCTAAAATTATTATCGTTTTTTTTAAAGTAGGATTGATGAAGTATATTATTTACACATTTTTTTTTATTAAGTCGATATTTATACATATCGGGAAGTTCATGTAACTGCCTCAAGGCTAAATACCAAACCAACTAGTTTATTTAAATTTTATGCATTAATAAAAATGTCAATGTGGCGCCCTCGAATAATAAGTTTGATTGAAAACGAATAACATTCTCTTTCATAGAAAATTATCAGTAAATTTATAAAAACAGATCGGAATCAATCCTTTAAAATATTGCCGTAACAATTTTTCGGAGTTAAAATTTTTACATTCTCAAAAATTTGCCGCCCCCCAAATTGTGCCGCCTAGACCCGGGCCTCACGGGTATATGGGTTAATGCAGCACTGATCATGATGCATGATATCAATTGGGTCGAGGAACGGGTGATAAACTTCTACTACTCGATGGACTATGTTAAAAAATATTTTGCTAATTTATTTACAATTTTATATCCATTATAAATATAATATAAATATTCCCTTATTTTGTATTGCAGCCTTGTATACATCAACTTGTCTAAAACCAATATTGATGCACGATAACTTTGAGGAATCAGATGACATAATGGATGAACTAGAAGGAACAGATACTGGAAAGGAATCAATGCTTAGAAAATATTCAAATCCAAACCTAAAACGTGTTTTGAAGCCACGTCTTAAATTTATGGATAAACAGGGGATGTTAGATTAAGCTCACACAATTATAAGTAGATAATCACGGCATAATTAAATATAAGTGTTAAATTGCAGCGAAGAAATATATATCTATTGCATTATGAAATATTTTATTATAAAGGGGAGCCAGGGGCATAATGTAATAGTGGTAAGTAGTAACCGTCGTTTTTCAATAGGATCTTAAACCATACATAAATATTATATTGTCTAGATTGCACATGTAAATTCCCCCGCATTTTGTTGTTATAGATACTGTGCCCAATGGTGACAGTAAACAGAAGTGTGCATGTGCCTCATTTTGTTCAAGCGGTACAAATTTTTTTATGTTATAATTATCGAGTAATTTTAAATTTTATATATATTATTTGGTTTAAAATTTATGAATCTTTGATAATCCGTAACAATTTCTGGGATTGCTAAATTGTTTAAATAGTCATTGCACCAACTCCGAGTTGCACCACCAACAAAAAAGCTTTTTGCCATCGAAGATTTGACCAATTTGGCCTTGGTGCGCAAAGACGGCACTAATTGTAAGAAAAACTAATACAGATAGCAAACACTAAAGAAAGACTATAGTATTGTGGGTTTAAGATGTATAAAAAGGAAGTGTGTACCTACTGAGAAAAAAGTTTTACAAAAGCAATATGTAGAAAAGATGAAAAAATACAGAAAAAAGATGATATAGTTCAATTAAAAATGAATAAAAGGCGAAATGAAAAGTCAAAGAAAAAGTACCAAGGATGAAAACTAAACACTGAAGAAGCTTGCATCCAAATAAGGGGACGTCTATTAATCACGTGATCAATTTTCAAGGATTTTTGGACACTCCCTTGATGATACGTGGTGATATTCAAAATTATCGACGCTCTCCCTAACATCACGTGTATTTTTAGTTATGAAAAAAAAAAATGTTTTTTTTTAAATGTTTAGATTTAAAAAAAATAGGTAAAAAATAAATACACGTAATATCTCACTGTACCTCTTCGTCCCCCAAGTGATATTTTTTGATTTTTTGCCAACTCCCCTTCTTCTAATAAACTCACGTGATTTATAGACGCCCCCTGAAGTAGAGTGTATTATTTGTAATATGTAAGCACATGTGCACATACATTACATTATTACATCATTTAATTTTGATCATTTAATTGATAAAAAATAATGTTAGATTTCTAAATATATATTTATATAACATAAATAAACTATGAATTTCACTTCATGAGAATATACTTCTCAGTGTTACTATTTAAATACAATTAAAACTTTTATAAAAAAAAATTTTAACAGTTTATTTGATCAGCAACTCGATCAGAAAATGTAAAGAAATTACAAGTAACTAATCCAGAATCGATTATTCAGCTTATACACCCAGATAATAATATATCTGAATTAATTTTCACACATGGTAAAATCTTTAGTCGACCTTTAGTTTAGGAATTTCCTGTACCGTAACGAAATGTTCGAGGAATATTAAATGTTTTCAAACAGATTATTATAAATACTATAACATTGTTTAATATTTATAAAAATTGCAAAGAAACTAAATTGCGATATTAGAACTTTAGTCATAATTAAAATAATTAGAATTATTTTTGATAAAAAAAATTTAAAAAAAGTATGTATGAATAATATAAAATATATTTACAAAAATTTATTACAAACACACATGTACTACTCTTAATCTTAATTCTATTTAAGTTAATGTCATGTTATATTAGATCAATTTCAAAATATAGCTTTACTACAATATTAAAAAATTCTACAAACTTAATTAATATTTTCCAATATAAGTCTAATATTCATTCAATATAATTGAAGTTAATAATATATAAATATAGTATAACTAAACATAAGCATATAAATATTATGGAAAATATATTAGGATCGTAAATATATCTACAATTAGAAATATACTACATATAGATTAATAGAAAGAAATTGTGAAAAGCAACAGAGTCATATTAACTCGTTTTTAGCAAGTTTAGTATGATATTTTTGGAAGTGATCAAAAAATATTTTACAACTTTCATTTAATATGAGAATAATACAATTATTATCATTGCAAAAATTACAAAACATTGTTAAAATTCTATTCTATTATTCATAGAATACTATAGAATATATTATCTATATATATTTTTTTCACTTTCAGACTCTACAACAAAATATTTTTGCTTCTTATGTTAAGTTTTTTCGTCCACATTTAAGCTCATCCTACCGAACCGATTTTAAAAAATCAAAAACTGTTCGAAAGATATTAGTTGGGAATGATACTGATTAGTTTTAGATGAAAATCTACCGAGCCGTTTTCTTGTAATTAACTGTTGAAAAAAATTTAAGCCGATTTTCATGGAACTTTTTTGGCTATATACATCATGGTCTTATAGAACTTACTGTAATATTACGCCCTTACGACAAGTAGTTTAATTTTAAAAATTCGTCAAACTTTGCTAAAATTATTATCGTTTTTTTTAAAGTAGGATTGATGAAGTATATTATTTACACATTTTTTTTTGATTAAGTCGATTATTTATACATATCGGGAAGTTCATGTAACTTGCCTCAAGGCTAAATACCAAACCAACTAGTTTATTTAAATTTTATGCATTAATAAAAATGTCAATGTGGCGCCCTCGAATAATAAGTTTGATTGAAAACGAATAACATTCTCTTTCATAGAAAATTATCAGTAAATTTATAAAAACAGATCGGAATCAATCCTTTAAAATATTGCCGTAACAATTTTTCGGAGTTAAAATTTTACATTCTCAAAAATTTGCCGCCCCCCAAATTGTGCCGCCTAGACCCGGGCCTCACGGGTATATGGGTTAATGCAGCACTGATCATGATGCATGATATCAATTGGGTCGAGGAACGGGTGATAAACTTCTACTACTCGATGGACTATGTTAAAAAATATTTTGCTAATTTATTTACAATTTTATATCCATTATAAATATAATATAAATATTCCCTTATTTTGTATTGCAGCCTTGTATACATCAACTTGTCTAAAACCAATATTGATGCACGATAACTTTGAGGAATCAGATGACATAATGGATGAACTAGAAGGAACAGATACTGGAAAGGAATCAATGCTTAGAAAATATTCAAATCCAAACCTAAAACGTGTTTTGAAGCCACGTCTTAAATTTATGGATAAACAGGGGATGTTAGATTAAGCTCACACAATTATAAGTAGATAATCACGGCATAATTAAATATAAGTGTTAAATTGCAGCGAAGAAATATATATCTATTGCATTATGAAATATTTTATTATAAAGGGGAGCCAGGGGCATAATGTAATAGTGGTAAGTAGTAACCGTCGTTTTTCAATAGGATCTTAAACCATACATAAATATTATATTGTCTAGATTGCACATGTAAATTCCCCCGCATTTTGTTGTTATAGATACTGTGCCCAATGGTGACAGTAAACAGAAGTGTGCATGTGCCTCATTTTGTTCAAGCGGTATAAATTTTTTTACGTTATAATTATCGAGTAATTTTAAATTTTATATATATTATTTGGTTTAAAATTTATGAATCTTTGATAATCCGTAACAATTTCTGTAATTGCTAAATTGTTTAAATAGTCATTGCACCAACTCCGAGTTTCACCACCCAACAAAAAAGCTTTTTGCCATCGAAGATTTGACCAATTTGGCCTTGGTGGGCAAAGACGGTACTAATTGTAAGAAAAACTAATACAAATAGCAAACACTAAAGAAAGTTTACAGTATTGTGGGTTTAAGTTGTATAAAAAAGAAGAGTGTACTGAGAAAAAAGTTTTACAAAAGCAATATGTAGAAAAGATGAAAAAATACAGAAAAAAGATGATATAGTTCAATTAAAAATGAATAAAAGGCGAAAGAAAAAATTACCAAGGATGAAAACTGAACACAGAAGAAGCTTGCATCCAAATAAGGGGACGTCTATTAATCACGTGATCGAATTTTAAGGATTTTTGGACACTCCCTTGATGATACGTGGTGATATTCAAAATTATCGACGCTCTCCCTAACATCACGTGTATTTTTAGTTATGAAAAAAAAAATGTTTTTTTTTAAATGTTTAGATTTAAAAAAAATAGGTAAAAAATAAATACACGTAATATCTCACTGTACCTCTTCGTCCCCCAAGTGATATTTTTTGATTTTTTGCCAAACTCCCCTTCTTCTAATAAACTCACGTGATTTATAGACGCCCCCTGAAGTAGAGTGTATTATTTGTAATATGTAAGCACATGTGCACATACATTACATTATTACATCATTTAATTTTGATCATTTAATTGATAAAAAAATAATGTTAGATTTCTAAATATATATTTATATAACATAAATAAACTATGAATTTCACTTCATGAGAATATACTTCTCAGTGTTACTATTTAAATACAATTAAAACTTTTATAAAAAAAATTTTAACAGTTTATTTGATCAGGCAACTCGATCAGAAAATGTAAAGAAATTACAAGTAACTAATCCAGAATCGATTATTCAGCTTATACACCCAGATAATAATATATCTGAATTAATTTTCACACATGGTAAAATCTTTAGTCGACCTTTAGTTTAGGAATTTCCTGTACCGTAACGAAATGTTCGAGGAATATTAAATGTTTTCAAACAGATTATTATAAATACTATAACATTGTTTAATATTTATAAAAATTGCAAAGAAACTAAATTGCGATATTAGAACTTTAGTCATAATTAAAATAATTAGAATTATTTTTGATAAAAAAAATTTAAAAAAGTATGTATGAATAATATAAAATATATTTACAAAAATTTATTACAAACACACATGTACTACTCTTAATCTTAATTCTATTTAAGTTAATGTCATGTTATATTAGATCAATTTCAAAATATAGCTTTACTACAATATTAAAAAATTCTACAAACTTAATTAATATTTTCCAATATAAGTCTAATATTCATTCAATATAATTGAAGTTAATAATATATAAATATAGTATAACTAAACATAAGCATATAAATATTATGGAAAATATATTAGGATCGTAAATATATCTACAATTAGAAATATACTACATATAGATTAATAGAAAGAAATTGTGAAAAGCAACAGAGTCATATTAACTCGTTTTTAGCAAGTTTAGTATGATATTTTTGGAAGTGATCAAAAAATATTTTACAACTTTCATTTAATATGAGAATAATACAATTATTATCATTGCAAAAATTACAAAAAATTGTTAAAATTGTATTCTATTATTCATAGAATACTATAGAATATATTATCTATATATATTTTTTTCACTTTCAGACTCTACAACAAAATATTTTTTGCTTCTTATGTTAAGTTTTTTTGGCAATTGATTGCTTGATAAATTTCGTATTGTATAAACTGATATTTATAAAAGACATTGAAAATTTACGCCACTGGAAACTAGAATTGCTTATTAACTACGTTAGACCAAATATTCATAAAATATACACTTTAAATCACTTTCTCTCGATACAGTTTGAAACTTAAAACCTATGTAATTTTCGTAATATAACGACGTGATATTCATGTTAAACTAAAAATGTTGGCTTATAAATTAATCTTTATTATCACCAACTGGTACTTGATTATTCTGGCTGTCGACTACAGTATTAGAATCGACAGTTTTTCGCCTTGGTTTCGGTTCTAGTGCTTTTAGAAAAATTCTTGTCAATAACACATTTGGAGTTTCATAAACCAAAGACATCCAGAAAGAAAGGAACATAACTATCACCAGTACACTTATAAAACGCAAAACCTAGAATGAATATACATATTTTATATATGTAATAATTGTTCAGATGATGATAAATTTGTGAATAAAACAAAAAGCTTCCTAACAGGCAACCATCCAGAAAACTATTTGGTATTTTATCCTTTGAAGCGTAATGGTCAAAATTATTATTTTCGTTTATATCTATCCCGAAGTATAATTCTTATTTATTTTTCACTAACATGCTTGTTTGTGTACTACAATATTTTTCTTAATTTATTTTTTATTTTTATTTTTCGACGAATGAGCTGTTTTGAAAGCATTTTTTTCAATTTCAATGATATATATATACCATATATATCGATCTTCCGCTCTGGCAATCTGGCATCGGGTCGCCGATGTCTATTTTCACTTAAAAACATAGGTTCAAATATAGAGAATATTCTGATTCATGGTATGTATGTTAATATTTTGATCAGCATTATATTATTACACGATACAATTATGGCATTATAATTTATCAACTTTCTAACAGCAACTAACTCTAATAACAACTGAATCTAATAAAGCACTGTGGTAAAATTCAAATATTCAAGCAATTACTATTGATGACGAACTTGTAGTTAATTATGACTATTATTAATTAAGTTAATTGTATTAAATTGTAGTGATCGTCTATTGAGTCTATTGTTTGAAAAATGGACATGTAAGTACTAAAACATAGTAGTGTTTGATAGTAAATGAACAAAATGCTTTAATATTACAGCTTTGAGGTTAATAGTCATAGTAAAATGCCGCCGAAAAAGTAAAAAATCTATAACAGGCAGATCAGAAAGGCTAGCCGAATAAGGGCAATTCAGTTGCCCGAACAAATTGCAGAGAGAAATGCAGCCCAGAAACTCAGGACAGCAGAATTTTGTAAGTCTCATGAACGACGTATGGAACACCTGCATCAGGTTGCTTTGAGAAATAGAGTTGCACGAGAACTATACATAGAAAAAGCAAGAGCCCAAGATCAACGAAGGCAAGAAACCTGCCGTAAATTAACACGAGCATCATTTTGTTTGTCTTGCTTTTGAATATTCACCAGATAAAAACTACTATGCTCATTAAAAGATTGCAATTGGTGGAATGGGTAAAGTATGCCAATATAGTCAGGGAATGAACTTTAGAAATGCAACAGAAGATATGTGCTACAAGAAAAGGTTTAAGGAGAAGTGGTTCTTCTACCACGGAGTCCTACGATACCCTAAGATTGTACGATATCATTTAAGATCGTCTTTAAGAGGTTACAATTTCTGATACGATTGGCATTTGCGATGACTATCACCAAGACCCAGGGACAAACAATGTCCGTTTGCGGACTTGATTTAGAAATCAATGTTTTTTGCACGGGCAATTATATGTGGCATGCTCACGTGTAGGATCACCGAAAAATTTATTTGTGTTGGCCAAAAAGGGTTTGGTCAAAAATATCGTGCATCAATTAGTTTTAAACTAGATTCATAAAAGCATTCATTATTGAGCAGTAATAATTAAATGGGAATATCTTTCATAAAATATTTTTTCTCCTCTCGAGATCTATTCTTCAACTGGACCCTATTCCTTCTCGTTCCTATTTGATATTTCGTGACTAGATGAACTAGATGAAGTTGACCTTGATAGAAAGGGGCTGTATAATGAACGACTTGTAACGGATAACACTTAATGCTAATTTTGGTTTCCATATTTTAGATTTTAAATTATAACACACTGAGGATGAGACAAACCTAGTCTCGAAACGCTTGTAAAATTACTATTTAATAAATTAGTGCAATAAAGAGTGTTTGTTTCTATTTCTAACTTAATATATATATATATATATATATATATATATTATTAAACTGCATCATATTGTACGGAAGCATTATTTTTTAGCAATCATTTAAAATCTTCAGCACAATTGCCGTGTTATTAAAATTTTAATATTATGAGTTATGTGAATTCAGTTGTCAAATATATGGTTTTATATTCTTTAAAAATAAATTATAAACGAAACTAATTCCGTAAATAGTTAAAATTAAAAAATACTTACAACATTCTGATACTGTAAATGCAATGGCACTTCGCTCATGAAATACGCACTGTGTATGATAATTGGATTCAATAGATACATGCAGTACGTCAACCTGCTCAAGGGAACAAAACGAGACCAGCTCAGGAGTCGATTTATATAACCTGTTTAAAATAATACAAAAATATATGATTATAAAAATCGTTACCATACTAACAATAGGTTAAAAATTAGTTTTAAAATAGAAAAATTATGTTATATAAACACAAGTACAATTTTATTTCTAATTTTACTCCGCAAATAGATGCGATACCTAATCGTTGAGTATGTGGGAATCAAAGAAGCCATGAGTTTTTGATAAAAACAATTATTCATGTCATTTTTATAGTTTTGAAATAACAATTTTTAATACAATTTTAATTAAACATAGAGATATCTTTTACTTATTTACATATTTCTATACTAGTGACCTACGACATTTGCAATGAAGATTGAACATGGATACAAGAATTAAAAAAAGAAAATATAGACTTTGATGCAACGCCCTAATCACTGGTCTTCCGTTGGCAACTTAAAAGGTACGCCCAGTCCTTGGTTCATCTCGGGTTAACTCATTTACTCTAGTCATGACACCGGACTTCCGTTGGCATACTCATTCTGTATGCCCAGACCTTGGGTTATCGCTGTCACCAAAAAGTTAACTGGAATCGCAATTCAACCTCTCCTTGTCCTTTAACTCACCAAATCGTCGTTTGATGCTCAAGACTTCGGAACTGGATCTGGATTGTATGTTGTTTTTAGAACTGGATTTAGATACTTCATCCAAGTTGTTCTCATCGGCTCCAGTCATTCAAACAGTAAGCTTTTATTAAGATTCAGGGAATTCAATCCTGCACTATTTCATCGACATCCCTCATCGACCCAACTGTCCGAGATACTCCATCGACAAGTTTGTATAATGTTTTGCTAACTTCGATGATTATGCCAAGATTATGCAAAGATTTCAAATTCACAGCTCTGCTAAAATCTGCCTTCCCACCAACTAAATATACCGTGTTGACGTGGGAATCAAAGAGGCCATGAGTGTTTGATAAAAACAATGGTTCATGTCATGACATTTTCATAGTTTTGAAATTATAATTTTTAATACAATTTTTAGTAAACATAGAATTATCTTTTTACTCATTTACAATAATCTATACTAAGCCTATAAAATTGGACCTTGTCAAAATCTGGATGAACAAATTATTGTTCCAAATATTTAAACTCAAATGCAATTATAATTTCCAATAAATATGGTCACATAACATATAGTATATCCTTACGTCCTTTAAGTTTACAGTTCAAGTGTAGCCAAGTAAGTACAAGTTCAACAGTGTTAATTACCAGAGATAAAAAAAATCAAATTTGGAAAAAAATATCAATGAGCTTCTTGTGTTCATATACTATCGTTAAGTTAGCAGGTTCATGTATGTATTTTGTAGAGTAATAGAGTCTTGTCAGTAGGTCTCTTGATTTGTTTAGTACCAGTCGTAATGCTTTGTTTTGCGTAATCTGTAGTCTCTGTAAGTTTGTCTTTATCACGTTCCAGCAGCGTATAACGATATTGGTTTTATTAGTTTAGGCAAAAACAATCAAATATTTTAATTTTTTTAATTTTTTTTAATAAATTATATTACACATAGATACGTTTCCAGTTTTGCGATCCATAGATATATCTAACGTAGACAAAATGTTCAAAGATCAAAGCAGTACTCATGTATGAAAAATTGAGTCATTCAAATGAGTTTCTAAATTCAGTTCTCGATGTACCAGATATAAAAGACTAAAAAGTATTGTCCAGTGGTCCTACCTCAGCATTAATTAGAAATCACTCGCTGAACTGAATGCTATACATTTTTTTAAATAATGTTAGCCTTATGTTTATCTCGTAATAATAGCTTCTAAAATTGCATTTTTTTTATATATATTTATAATATCAATTAAAAGAACGGATATATAAAATTATCTAGCAATATTTGCTGTTCTAACAAAGTATGGGCCAACATCAGACTTTCTTAAATATATAGTGTTTTTTGCAAATGACTGATAAAAATTTACCCTACCTCCATGTCCTGTGGAACAAGCCAATACAGCCCAAGCTAGACCTAGACCCCAAGCTGGCCTTGAAATGGCGACATATACTGCAGCTAACCAGCCACCAATTCGTTTATTTGTTAACCCAAATAACAAAGTTAAATTAAGCATCCAGGAAGCTATCCACAGCATTGTGATACCAGTCTAAAAATATAATTATTTGTTTCGTTTGATATTAGGAAGTAAGTCATAATTAAAGAATAACTGTCTACAAACATATTGGTCTAACTTGATTTCCAAAGTTTTAACCACCAGCGAAAATATAATATTGAAAAATTAATCTCAAAGCCAATGTAGGAATAATGTGGTGTGAAGACTGATTTGACTCCATATGATACACAAAATTGTGAGCGTTTTTTATCATTATTATGATTTATCTATTAAATTTTTTACATATTTTAATTTTTATAGTTATGCTGATTGCCACTGTATGAAGGCTAAGATGCTAGCCGAAACGTATAGATTTCAAATAAATTTATAAAAACCTTCATACTATTTTTTATTGATGTAACGCCCGACTCAAAAAAAACGTATCTTGATCATATTATATAATACAATTTGTTAAGATTGTCTAACCCTTTTCAATGTAAGTTTTCCATCTAAATGCACAAGAATGTATCCTGTAGCAACACCAACCAAGTAAGGACCTATTCTTGTCCATGGAGGATCATACAAAACATCCATCATAAGATATTGCTCATCCATTCTAAAAATACAAAATTATTATTGATGTTAGTATTATTATTTTATTAAATATTTAATAACATTTTATTGAATGATACTTGCGTTGGCGTATAATCATAGCTGTATGCAATATAAGTAGTCAGAGCTGTGCAGAAAGCGAGAATTGATAATAGTAAAGTTGCTGCTAATTTGAAGAAACTGTAAATAGGACAACATTTCGGTTATAATTCATAATAAATTATTAATAGCAATAATATATTTGGCGACAAAAATGATCATTAGACATATGCGCATCAGATTATCAGATATTTTATAAAATGATTTTAATAATAATGAATTCAAATTTTTGGGTTTTTGTATCAACATTTTAATTTTTGAAGTTGAATTATATAAAAATACTTAATATTTATGATTCAATCGACTAGAATGATTCAAAAAACATTCGGTTCATACTGACTGCCACACGTTCTGGTTAGTTTATACAGAGATTTGGAACAAAAAGTGTAAAAATTGTAATGTCGTTTCTAAGGGAATGTATCATCTAATTAGTAACATTTAAAAAATATTTTGCTTGTATTGACGATGTGAAGAAATTCTAAATTTTTTATCATTATACATATTCATAATTAATTTAACTTTTATTATTTGCGGAATAAGGTAAAGCGGGGTTTAAAGTTCCGCGATTTAAAAAGCTTTCCACCAATATATCAAAGCTCAATGAAGAATTTTTTAACAACAATATTTCAAAGTAGAGGGAAAAAGATGTATAACCAATGATCATCTTGATTCTTACGACGTTGCTATCGGAAGAAATACGGAAATATTTGAAAATCCATAACATTAGATTCAACAGTTTTTTATATAACCTCAATACAAGCTTACATCTGGGAGGGAATTCCTGGAAAAAGTGTTAAAAATGAAAAATAGCAAATGAAAAAATTAATTAAGGTAAAAAAAGGGATTTTGCAAAAAAAATTAAAAAAATACTTATATCAAATCTACTGATATCTCTGACAAAATACCAGATCAAGGTTATTTACAGTTATATCTGTAATAAATGCACGTATAAAATTTATATTTTACATTGGTTGTATAATTTATTTTGTAAAATCTCTCTAAAATCAAAATAAGACATTGGCCTTATTTGCCCTAGGGCTGATTCATCCTGTGGGGTAAAAAAGACCAGGTTACAAACTTTTGAAAAACACATTTCAACAATAATGAATTAGCTAGGATGTGTCATTTGTTGTAATATAATTTGTTTGGTTTCCACAATATAATTCCTGAAAGTCAAATTGGACCATTTTGGAAAGATTTGATTAATTTTTGCTTCAGCACGTCGGGGGCTCTGTATAATTGATACCGTAGAAAAGGCGGTAGCTACGCTTCTATAAACATAAAGTAATATAAATTTTGTTAAGTAATTTAAATTAATTTAATATAATTTTATATGAGACCGACTGTTTGTTTAAATTATATAAATTGGAAATTAATTTTTTAAGTGAAAGGCGATATAAACATTTGAGAATGTTGTTCATGCAAAGTTAAAACTTTAAAAATTTATTGCCTACTCGATTTTATTGTTAACCCTCCATCGGGTGCGGTCAAGATATCTACTGAATCGTAGTGTATCTGATAGAAACAGATTTTAAATACAGGAGGCTCTTAGTGTAATATAATTCTATTTAATTGGTATTTAAACAATGCTGAATAGGTGTTTTATGTACAAATAAAAAATGTAATGGATTAATATTATTTTTATAATATAGCAAAATATAAATATTCGACTAAGTGCTTAAAATGCTTGACGCACAAACCTTACTTTTTCTGAAATGAGTAATTTAATTAATTTGAAAATTGTCAAATTTTGTTGAACAAAGACTGCATAAATAATTAGGATAATAAATACTCAGTGTTTTTTACATTTTCTTTTAACTCAGTTTTTTTACATGAAGTAGAGTTAGTAAAATATGCAAAGTTTAAAGACAATCTAAAGTAGACGAATAAATAGTAGACATAAAACAACAAGGCTACTGAGATCTGAGACTATCGATGTACATCATACTACATACTGTTGGCCTTATTGTATGTGACAGATCGGCTTCGTCCGACAAAGGGTTTAAAGAATAGTAATGACTTAGGAGAAAAAACTTATCCAGTAATAGGTCTATTTATCTAATATTATTTAAGTAAATAACCATTATTCAAATTGACTTACGATGTAGATAAAAACATCAGAGCACTGGCCAGCACGAAGAACTGCATATCGTTGCTCAGGTACCAGCTCCAGCTGAGACACATCTCCGACCTTGGATAGAGATTGTTAATATAGAGCAAGTTTCGCCACCAATGTTCATGGCAGGTGGCATGGTTGCGTTCAGTCATATGGAACTGGGTGTATTGGGCGACATGCCAGGATGCCAACTCGGCAAGTAAAATTGCAATCACGTACGGCGGTGTCAATCTGTGAGGTAATATTCATTTACATATATTAAAAAAAATTATTAGTTGAATATAAATTAAAAAAAAATATTTTTATCAACATCCTACTCTACAAAAACTCTAAAAAAAAATACTTAAGTTTTTTACATACATATTCCTTTATCGAATCTTATCCTCTCTACGTTTATAAAAAATCTGTCAACTTATTGCATACATTATTTTTAACTTTCCCGAGGATAAACCTTAGAAAAATGGATGTATGAGTGTTTGTGTGTTTTTTTTTGATCATGCATCAAATGCATAACCAGATCATCAAAATCATTACCAAGATGCGTTACGTGATTAAGCAAAGATTCAACTGCTGATTAATGACTTTGATGATCCACAAAATTATTTCAAAGTTGACTAGAGCGATCCAAAAAACATCCAAAAATTGACCAAGGTAATATAAAAAACATCTAAACGTTGACCAAGTTAACAATCTAATCTTTGACCAATAAACTTCAAAAAATCATCTAACGGTTGACCAAGACAACCATCTAAGTTGACCAGGATGATCCACAAAACCATCTAAATGTAATTGGTAATGAATTTGATTGTGTGTGTATGTGAGCGTGGGCTTTATGTGGATACAATTCTTTGTCCACGATTTCGCAAACTCGGATTAATCGATTTGAAATATTTAAAAAAACAATCGATTCCTACTGATGGAGAAACGTGCGTATTAGTTTTTGGCAACTGATGGATTAGCTGTTTCAAAGATATGGAGCAAAGAGTGCAGGAATTAGAAGTAAGGTTTCTAAGAGAATTAAATGATTCAAAAACATTCAATTTGTAATTAGGGGAAGACGTGATGAGTACTTTCTGGAAAGGCAGGTCAATTAGTTTTCTCTCAAAAACTGCCATTTTTTGTATATTTAGCTCTGTATTTTCAAATTGGCTGGGCCTGCCTTTGCCAATAACTAATAGCCATTTTCCCCAATCATTACTTATTGAATGTTTTTCAGATCATTCAAATCGGATACTCCGTTTTCTCAAAAACTCGATTTCTATTTTCTGCACTCTTTGCTCTTATCTCCGTAACGACTGGACCTGCCTTAGCCAAAAACTAATCAGCACATCTGCCCATCAATAGGAATCGAATGTTTTTTGAACCATTCAAATCGGTTGATCCTGTGCGCCCCAAAACGTGAACGAAAAAATGCGAACACACAAAACACACACACACATACATTTTTTTTAGGTATGCCAAAATGTTCAGAAACCTTCAAAACATTAAGAAAGACAAAAATTTTCATTTTCGATTCTCGGCCCATTACTATAACTACTCTACGGAAAGTTAATTAATTTTGAGGATTAAAATTTATATACATGAATACTATACGAATTGCAAAAATTATTTTTTTATTTCAGTACGTAATTTAACATGTAAATATTTTATGATAGTTCAATGATTCTATTAATAATTTCAAATTATTTATCAATTTTGATTGATTATATGTTGATTAATTTTTTTACTCAAATGTTTAATCAAACGAGAAGTTCAAGTATTTTGCTTAAGGCACGATGCCATGCATCACTAAATTTATTTTTTATTGCTTTTTTCAAGTACTTTTTGTTGCAATCATTTTTTCTTAAAATATAATAACTTAATTATTGAAAGCACATGAAGTTATCTCAGATTATATATTTAAATTTTTATTTGTAAAGTGTATCACATTTATTTTATTTTTAACAATTATCCTCATTTTTGAAACATATGTTTAAAAAATATTTCTCGGTTAAAAGTCATTCAAGTAACATAAATTAAATTTATACATAAGTATAATAATATATGAATAATATTAAGTTGAGTGATTTTGTAAAAAAAAATTATATGATGATTTTAAGTGCTAAATCTTAATTTAGATATATTATTAAAGTTTATAAAAATAGACAATTACCTGTATAAAACTGCACACTAAACAACTATTGTTCTTTATAATAAAATTTTATTACTTATTACCTGACATAACGCCTGATCACCATCAAAACGAATTCTTGTACTTTTTTCATTGGACTTTGATATTTATTTCCAGTCTTTTTTCTACCATTATAAAATAGATATGCCACGAGGAAACCACTATTGGGAATAACCATAAAGTTAATTTGTGAAATTAGATCATTGGCTTAGAGATAATTTGAATGAATTATTTTGAAAAATAAATAGAAACACGGCTAACACAAAGTAAAACTCAAAATAAATGTAAAAATACATACCTAAGAAAGAAAAATGTGTCGACGCTGAGCATAGCATTTGCCAAAATTTGGGCACCAATTGATTGAGATTCAAGTAAAGCAACTACTTTATTGTCAGCCACTTCAAAAGAATATAACATGATATGCACCATGATAATCCAAACCATTCCTAAAAATCTGGAAAAATAAAATTTTTAATGCACAATATTTATTTTATTTTATTTTATTTAATAAAAAATTGTATATCAATATAATTTAATTAATATTATTATTATTAATAGCAATAGTTGTTTATTAACAAAAAAATCAGTAACAGATTCAAATGAAAATATGAAAAAAAATCTTGAATATCACGACCACTACTATTCTAAAGTTTAATTCAAAATCATATCTTCAGAAATATAGAAAAGTGTGCAAAAAAATAAAAAGAATGAAATTTGTACATCAAATACCATAATTTCCATGCAAACCTTATTCCATGAATTACAGGTACTGAATCATCGCCAAGTTTTGTATTTAATAATACACTAATATTTGTTTGTGCTGAAAAAGTCATCAGTAAACTGCTCCAAACCGATTCTTTTGGTGCATCCGCCGGTGTTTGATGTTCTATAAAAAAAATCTGTTTAATCTAGCATTTTGTACATATTTATAAATACCTGCTTATTATATATACAGGACACAAGGGTTGAATTTGAAATTAAGTGCTTATACAGCCTAATCCAAATGAACTACATGACGACACATAACATGCGTCAAACAAACATATATCGTACCTTGTTAAGTAAAATGCTCAGTCAATTCGTAATTATAGAATTATTTTTAAACTATTTTTTCTAAAATTTGTCATCTGTCCCATTTTCCATATTCGATGGATAAATAGAACAGCCAGGGGGCAAATATGTAGATCGATTGTGTTATTTTTAATTTGAAAGCGAATTCATGAAATTATAGCTACTATATTCAACCGATGCAAAATATTAATTTCTGATAACAATGTGATCTTTCATCAGGAATATTTATTTGCAGATTTAAAACTACTATGAATTTTATATGTTTTTTGTTTAATTATTTTTTTGGCTGAATTAACAATTTACAATTTTATTAACTGCATTTTATTGTTTACATCTTTGCTAGGGTAAAGTCTCAGTTGTTCCTTTTTATCCCATATCCCATATCTACAAGTAAGCTTTTGTAGAGTTTATAGAAAATATCTATTGAATCTAATTTAAAATTAATATTACATATTATAAAATAATTTAACAACGTATACCTCAAAATTATATTAAGGTCTTGTAAACTGAACAACAATGCTCAAAACCAAAAAGAATACCATAAAGAAAAATTGTATGTTATAAATATTCAAACATAGCGGTTGCTAGATTTGAAGCAAAGCAAAAATTCTTAAAAAAATTCACAACTTAACTTGTTTTTAAAAATTGGTGGTGGACCATTTTACCCGCAAACTTTTAAACACTGCTTTAATATAATTGATTTCTTGGAAGGCGTAACATAAAGTAAAAAATAATTAAAGTAAAGATTTTTAAAACATCTTTATTTTTCCATACGTAAAATTCTACGTCAACTTCAGTCATTTTGAAATTTTTAGATTAACACTAATACGTATTAAAAACACATGGCTTGTAGATAATAAGTGTCTGTGATGACTTTTTTATAAAATATTTTTAAAAATTAAATAACCGAAATCATCTATATATATATATATATATATATAATATATATATATATATATATATATATATTTGGGTGGTCCTTAAAATGGTCATTTTCGAATTTCCTTGCTCCCAGGGGCTCAAATGGTTCCAAATTGATTAAAAACAATTCTCTGAAAGTTTTAACTCTGAATATTAACGTTTAGATAGAGCGCAATTCAATCAAAGTTTTGTGTGGAAATAGCATTGAAAAATTTTCAAAAATTTTAAATATGTATATTATATTATTATATATATGATAAAATTGTTCTTGGGCATCCATCCAGTAATTAAAATCAGTTTTATTGAAAGAAAATGTTTTTTTTTTTCAAAAAACGTATCTTTCGGGCCTTGTTTGACCCATCTTCAGTGCTACAATTAAATATTTCAGAAAAATATAAATAAAAACATGTAAAAAAGCATAAATCTAATCAATTCAATAAATTTTGTGTTTTAAATAATACATATTGTATAAGTATATAAAAAAAACAACATAGACATAAACAAATGTAAAGAACTCACCATACAAATAAATTGAAAAAAACACTGAAATTGCACGAAAATATTATGAAACACAAATTGATAAACGACGAGTCATGATAGATTTAAAATAATTGTAAAATTAAAATAAAAAAATATATATATTTAATTATAAAAAGCTCATTCCAAACGAACATGTTGTCAGCTTGGAGTTTGTGTTACATGTAAAATGTGTGCGTACGTGTTTGCGGAAAATTGTGGAAACTGTATCGTCATTGGATGAGAGAACGGAAATTGTAGCACGGAAGATGGGTCAAATCAAGACCCGAAACGTATGTTTTCTGAATAAAACATTTTCTTTCAATAAAACTGTTTTTAATTACTGGATGGATGCCCAAGAACAATTTTATCATATTATTTTACCATCTAAAGAAAAACCTCTCGCTTTATATATATATATATATATATATATATATATATATATATATATATATATATATATAACAATGATAGTTACCACAATCAGCCATATGTTTGGAGGCGACCTCATTGTTATTGTTTCTTTGTGACTTTTTACGAGGTTTCCAAATACGAACTTCATAAATTGTAGCCAAGATAACCAAAATCGCGCTTGCCGCTAAAATCGTCCTATAAATATAAATTATTAGAAACAAATCATGTTTTAAATATACAAACAAGAAGGCTCAAAAATGATTAAACTATCAATAGAAACGTTTTATCCGATAAATTCATTAAACTTGGTGAAGCAAATAATAAATTCGGGTTTATATAATAAATTATATAGTATATGCATCACGATTTTTGAAACCAAACACGCACAACTTTAAAGTTCAAACTCAGCACCATTTCTGCACAGTACAATTTCGTGGAAAATTTTAAAATAAAAGCGTAATTGATCATAAAACACAAAATAGTTGAAATATTTGGAATTTGCTAAATGTTGAACTTGAGTTTCGTCGTATTAAAAATAAAATAAGCAATATTCAGTTTTATAACAAATTTGTATCATACAGAACGATGACATATTTTGGCTGGTCCTTCAATCTATCATCACCCGGAAGCGGTTTGACTCCAACGACAGTGAAATTATTTCGCATAAGTCGACGCCATGACCTGCTGCCTAAATCTCTAGACAGATGAAGTTGGAGTCGCTCTTCCACATCTTCAGGTGTACAAGATTTCGGCAAACACAATCCTAGTTGAACTAACTCCTCATCCGGAAAATGCACCCTCACCTTAAAAATTAAATAATATTAGCTATAATTTTAGCATTCGAGAAATCAGTTTTCAGTATTTTTTTATTTAGTTGCAGCATTAGTACTTCTATATGTTGAAACCACCGAAAAATTAAATGATGATTTCACTACCAATACTTTATTAGTTCAAATTCAGATTGCAAGAAATGTAAACAAACTTAATCGAGCCACATTTGAATAAGGCAGTTTGAGGACCTTATCTCATATTTATAATAATTATATCTGGTGGTGCTTGGCATCGTGCCTTAATGCAAATTACTGCAACTTTCCGTACTGTTATTTATTTATTTTGTTTTAAATTTGAAAATATTGTAATTTGTTTTTTTTTTTGAAGATTCTGATTTTTTTAAAGCAATCACATCGAGTTGTTTTAGAGACGAAATATTGAAGCTCGTTTTCCCGTGCGGCAGTTAACGGATAAGCATTATGAATGTTGTTACGAAACTCATGAAAATGTAAATATTTGTACTTTTTATTGAAATCTCTATAAAATATCTGATTATTTAATGTGCATATGTCTACTCATCACTTTTGTCCGTCAAGTTGCATTGATTTAACTTTTTCTTTTAAATTATTACAGTGGTGGCGACTTCATTCCGTCAATATAAGTAGAATGCTTTTTGGAAAATTTTGAACTTGTCTAGTCAAAAACTAGTCAGAACGACTTTTCATCAATAGAAATAGTATGCTTTTTAAATCAGTTGATCCGTTCCTTACAAACATACACACTACACTCACACATACATACATACATCCATTTTTTTCAAGGTATTTCAGAATGTTCAGAGCCGTTGAAACGTTGAAACTTAATTTACGCCATCGAGATTGGAGTTACCGCATTTGGTACAATAGTTTTTCGTTTCTATTTGAGGCACGTAACTAGTGGGGCGCATGGCATCGTGCTTTATGGCAAATTGCTGGAACTTCCCGTACCAAAAAATATTTTTTTTCCAAAGATTAAGATTTTTGAAAAAAAATTACTCTGAAAAATTAGATTTTTGAGTAACTATAAATTTTTGACAAAAATTTACTTTTTTTTGAAAAAAAGACTTTTTGAAGAAAAGTGTATTTTGAAATATTTTAAAAATTCTGAACTTTTTTTCAAAGCAATCGTACTGCTTTAACTGCATATAGACGAAATATCGAAGCACGTAAGCGCAGCGTCGCCGTCTAACGGATAAGCATTGGTACGGAACCCATAGGAATGTAAACAAATTTTATACTTATTGTTAAAATCTCTATAAAATATCTGATAATTTGATGTGCATATGTCTAATGATCATTTTTGACCGCCAGATGGCATTTTTTAACTTTTTTTACTAGATCTCCGAAACCGCTAGACCTGCCTTCATGAAAATTTGATCAGTTTTTTATCTTGTTAATACAAGTAAAATGTTTTTCGAATTATTCAAATCGGACACTCCGTTCTCTTAAAAACAGTTTTACCGTTTTTTGCACTTTTTGCCCCATATCTTCGGAACGGCTAGACCTGCTTTTGCCAAAAACTAATCAGCACGTCTTCTTATCAATACAAATCGCATGTTTTTTGAATTATTCGAATCGCTTCATCCGTGTTCCCGAAATCGTCGACGAAATTTTGTATCCGCACACACATACACACACGCGCACATACACATACACACACACATACGTCCATTTTTTCTAAGGTATGCCAAAATATTCAAAAGCCTCTGAAACGTAAAGATATATAACAATTTTCATTTTTGATTTTTTTGCGATTACTATAACTTAACCTACGGAATGTTAAAAATTTCGGTTAAAAATAATGGTTTCGTGCATTATCAAGTCAGTCGATCATACTGATGTCGAAGACCTTTATTTGAACTATACAAGTGAACATTAAATATTAAAAATTTTGGCACGGAATCCAAAAAGATAGAAACTTGTCGAAATTTGTACTCATTATTAAGATCTCTACAAAATATCTGATAATTTGATGTGCATATGTCCGATATATTTTTCACCACCAAATGGCAATTTTTTAACTTTTATTCCGGTTTTTTGAAACCGCTGGGCCTGCCTTCCCAAAAATTTGACCAATTCTTAACTTACAATATAAATAAAAGGTTATGTGAATCATTCAAATAGGACGCTCCGTTCTCTAAAAAACTGAAAACCTATTTTTTGCACTCTTTGCCCCTTTCCCATCAAAAGAAACCGACTGCTTTTTAAATCATTCAAATAGGATGATCCGTGCTACGAAAACGTCGGCGAAAAATTGTATCCGCACATAAATCCATACTGCACACATACCTATACACACACAATCAATCAATTTTTTCAGTTATGTCAAAATATTCAGAAACCTTTGAAACGTAAAGATATGCAAACATTTTCATTTTCGATTTTTTGCGATTACTATAACTTGTCCTACGGAAAGTTAAAAGATAAAACAATAATAATAAAAAAATCTCACCTGTAGCCTAGATTGTTGCCTACAATAGGCCATGCTATATCTAACTGGATACGGTGGTGGCGTAAAATCAGGCAGAGGTGGATCGTATTTATCAGAGACTTGCAAAGGTAAGGGAGTTGCGAGAAAGCGGCACTGTCGCTCTGAGCCGAACCAAAAATTGTTGCCCCAAGCAAATTGAGATCGAGTATCGCCAGAAGCATCCATCACTTGAAACATAAAAAATAAAATTGTATAATTATAGTTATTAATATAAATATACTATATTATTTATGAATAAATGTTTACAAATAATATAAAATTTGTAATACTGCTTTTTAATATTTACATTTGTAGTTACATTACAATTCATATTTGCATGCATATATATATATATATATATATATATATATACATGTATATTAACAAAGTCTAATAATCGGGCATAACATCAATAAAAAACATGAATTTTTTTCAAAAATTTATTTTAAATCCATACGTTTCGGCTATAATCCTAGCCTTCATTCAATGGAAACTAAAAATAAAATTAAAAACTAAAACAATTGAATTGGAGTGAAAAGAAAAAAGAAAATAGTAAATAGAAATAAAAATTTGATCACTTCTTCATCTTGTCAATACAAGTAAAGTGTTTTTGAAATTTTAAAATCGGACGCTCCGTTCTCTTAAAAACCGTGTTACCGTTTTTGGCACTTATTGCCCCGTATCTTCGGAACGGCTAGACCTACCTCCACCAAAAACTAATCAGCACGTCTCCTTATCAGTACGAATCGGTTGATTGGCGTTCTCGAAATCGTCGACGAAAATTTGTATCCGAATACACACACACGTATACAAACACACACACACATACATCAATTTTTTTTAAGGTATGCCAAAATATTCAGAATCCTTTAAATGCAAAAATTTTCATTTTCGATTTTTTTGCGATTACTATAACTTACTCTACGAGGAGTTAATTATTAAAAATGCAACAGAAGTCCGTTACGGCACAAGTGATACGTCATTGGCTATCGATGTATTGTTCTAAACGGGTTGATTGTTATTAGGCGTCGTGTCACTTAAATAGAGATCTTTCGCTGCATGCATACCGATGTACGTCACCAAAGAGCATTATATCGGAATGTTATTAGATTTTAAGGTTGCATCGTAGTACATATCTTGATTTAATAAAAAATGTTTGAATCAGAAAAAAAATATCCCGTCTCTCGTGAATAAATATAATAAAACAGATGAAATATCTGTGCCTTTTAAAAAACGTATGTGTATAATGTTGTATTTGTTGTTACTATACATTTTTTAGGTTATTAAAATCAAAAATAAATTTATAGACACCTGTAGTATTTGTCTTTAATTTTAATTACAAGTTCTTCAAAAACGATTACATTATAAGTCAAACTGTAACTAGTGGTGTATGGCATCGTGCCTTAAGGCTAATTGCTGAAACTTCCCGTACCGTAACGAAATATAAAATAAAAATGTAAAAATAAAAAAAAACATAAAAATTGAAATTTTTTTCAAAAGCAATTGTTTCGTCAACACAAGCAGAAAGTTTTTTGAATCATTGAAATCGGATGCTTATTTCTCTCAAAAACCGCCATTTTTTGTACATTTAGCTCTATATCTTCAAAATGGCTAGACCTGCCTTTGCCAAAAAATAATAACCACTTCCCCCAATAATTAGAAATTGAATTTTATTTTAGATCAATCAAATCAGATGCTCCGTTTTCTCAAAAACTCGATTCCAATTTTCTGCACTTTTGCTCTTTATCTCCGTAACGGCTGGACCTGTCATTGCCAAAAACTAATCAGCACATTTCCCTATCAATAGTAATCCGTGCGCCCGATGTCGGAGTGAAGGTCAGATGATGCATCGTCTCCTTCCAAATATCAAAGTCTAGCTAAATCGCAAGCATGGAGAAGTGAATTATTCCACTACGCAAATGCTATGTGGGCATGGCCGTTTTCGAGCCTACCTACACCGCTTCAAGCACGATAACTCGCCGGATTGGCCATATTGTTTGGGCGAAATCGAAGATGCTGAGCACATGCCAGCATATTTGTGTGCCAGCGATTTGGTGGTCTACGGGATGATGTAAAAGAGATTTTGAGGCTAAGAATTACTCCAGGTAGTGTTGTTGAAGTGATGCTGACAACTGAAGCAGCTTGGGACGCCATAGACAGATTTGCAAAGATTTGCTAATTGACCTGCATTTTATGGAAAGAGAAAGATTAAATAGAACTTCGCACAATTAAAAGCTATGTATAAAATCAAGGTAAAATTTTTAACATTATAGATCCTCCCTCTACGAAGTAATGCCTAACGGCGGTTTCCGTGGGGACCAGAGGTGAGGGCAAAGTGAAGGTTTTAGTCGGTATTATACCCGGGCAGTATTGAGTCCGACATACCCAGACAAACCACCAGTCTGGAATGCATAAAAGTATTTCCTTCGCTATACAAAAAAATAAAAATAAAAAAAACTTAGTTAGAAGCCATAGTTCCCAAATTTATATTTTTATATCACATAATTTGGATAAATTGTATTAACAATTTGTTGAATTACGTTTGTTCAATAAAAAGTCATAAACGTATTTTAATTTCATCAAAGTATTTTATAGACCACTGGAGTGACCTTTATCATGTTATATATGTAGAACTCCAGTACTATTACTGGAGTTCTAATAATGGACACAATAGCTTATAATTTTTTTTTTATTTTCTGATTGCTATTTATTTTTTAAGTAAATTAACATAAAGTTTTATAACATCTTTTTGATCAAATAAAACAAACTAATATAAAATGAGTAAGCAATAGAAATTATTTGAAACTAGTTGCATGTGGTATTTTCCCTTGTGGCAAAATGCATAAACTTCCCGGTATGTTTGAACTCATATATTTGGTAATAAATATTTTTTTAAATTTATAAATGATTTATCTGTCTATCTGTCCACTTGTCTATCTCTCTACATTTAATCCTGCCTAGCTGTTTATCTGTCAATCTGTTTACTTTACTACCTGTTTACCTGCCTACATTATTTACTTGTCCACATGTCTATCTGTTTATCTGAATCCATGATTTTTTCCGTCTTGCCTTAACCCGCCAATAACTAATCAGCACGTCATCCCATAAATAGGAATCGAATGTTTTTTTATTTATAAGAATCAAATAAAAAAATGCATTATGAATGCATTTACAACAAATTGCCACACCAGGTTGCCTTTCAAAAATCCTTGTCGCATCAAATACAATGCACAATGACATGACTCAAATTTGCCTCTGTTCCAAATTAGTTATGCTAATCATTTAAAACCTGAGTGAATTATTAATAAGATTTTATGTGTATACATTTTTATTGAAGTCTTCAAAAATATAGAAATTGACGACAATGAATCAAGGTCGATTAATACATTCAATGTCTAACAATTTTAATAAACAAAGCCGCGCCTGTTTTGTCATGAATATGATTTTTTTATGTTAGTTATACATAGGTTAAACAACATAGGTGTCAAAGGAAAAAAAATGTGTGTAAAATTTAGTTATTTGTATATTGAATAAACATAAAAATACACAAAATTATTGGCAAAGAGCATAATTTGTACGAGCAGGTCACACAGTTCAAATACACAACATTCCAACAAAACTAGCAATCAACCAGTGGTGTGTATGGCATCGGGCATTAAGGCAAATTGCTGGAACTTCCCGTGCCGTAACAAAATGTTCAAGAAATATTAAATATTTTCAAATAGATTATTAAAAATACTGTAACATTGTCTAATATTTACAAGAATTATATAAACTGAATTGCAAAGTTGAAATTATTTGTATCAAGTATATTAAAACTTAAAACAAGTATATTAAATTAAATTCAAGTATATTAAAACTTAAAGTCAGAATTACAATTAAAATCTGAATTGTTTTTGATATACAAAAAAATGAAACAATTTTTGAAAAGCAATTATTTTGTTAAAACAAACAGAAAGTTTTTTGAATCACATTTAGCTCTGTTTCTCCGAAACCGCTGGACCTGCCTTTGCCAAAAATTAATTACCACTTCACACCGTCATTACGAATTGAATGCTTTTTGAATCAATCAAATCCGATGCACCGATCTCTCAAAAACTCGATTTCTATTTTCTGAATTCTTTGCTCCGTATCTCTGAAACTGCTCGACCTGCCTTTGCCAAAAAGTAATCTATCAATATTACATCTTTCTATCAATAGAAATCGAATGTTTTTTAAACCATTCAAATCGGTTGATACGTTCGCCCGAAAACGTGGACGAAAAATTGTATCCATACATACATACACACATACATTTTTTCTGAGTTATGCCAAAATGTTCAGAAACCTTCAACGCGTGAAGAAATGTAAAAAAATTTAATTTCGATTTTTGGACGATTACAATAATTTACCCTACGGGAAGTTAATAATGTGTCTAAAAACGCTATGTTCAATTTGATTAATACATTTTCTAGTAAAGAATTTTCATAAGTTAAAGAAAATCTTAATTTAAAAGTAAAGAACATTCAGTGACTGAAAGCGGCATAAGAAATTTGTAATATTTGACTTAATCGACGAAAATTTAGATTTAGATAAATTATTAAATTTAAACATTATAATTTTTATTTGATATCTCCCAAACACTTTATTGTACTTTATTGACTTTATTTTAATTATATTAATGTGTACAGAAACATGCTTGTATGTACTAAAATTTTAACTTGTTATTCCAAATTATGGCTTATCGATCTTTTTGCAAACCTAATCGTAGCTTTCTTACTGAATTTATTCCAATGGCCTTTAAATTTGTGAAATTCAAATTTTACTAATCACATCATAAAAGCGAATTTTGACAATTTGAAATTTACTCACATCAATCATATTTTTTCAAACATTAATGAATTTTTAGACGATTGTCATAGTAATATATTAGTATGTCGATAATATCTATCAACAAAAAAGTTTCATCAAAAGATTTTATTCAATTTTTTGAATCAAAATGGAATAGATCAAATTTTTGCTCGAATATTCTGTAATTTAACCGCAAATTTAGTGTAATTTAGAGTAGTATTTGACTAAATTTATTTATTGTTCAATTTTATAGATAGTAAACAAAATTATTTTAATTTTAATTAGTAGAACTAAAAAATAATAGTTTATTTTGATTAAATAACTTTGAAAATAATTATTCGTTATTCATGCATCATTTTCACATAAAAGAATGAAAATATTTTTATGATAGTGAAAGGTAAGTTTTTGAATAAATAAAAATAATATATTTTTAAATGAAAAATAATTCAATAAATTTAAAAAAAATAAAAAAATATTAGAAACATGTTTATACATAATTGATAATATCAATTTTAGTTTTGAAAACAATTAAGCTAAACTCGGGTAATGTCTATTCCGAGCAATTTTAATTAATTAATTTTAAACATTCTTATTTTTTTTGTTTAATTAAATATGATTTAAAAAAACTTAGACGTGTCCTTTGTTTACTCACTGAAATAGAAAACACTCTCATACTTGCGACCAAATTATGCTTAATTGTTTTTAAAGCCTGATATAATAATTCTAAGTTTTTTGTTCTTTAATTTGTGGCTTCTGGGGTTTAAAACTCTTTTTTTTTAAGTTTGAGTAGAGGAAGTTACTTTTTCAAGAAGAAATCACAATGATTTAAATTAATATAAACACTGGTATAAAAATCTAAATTAATATATACAGAACCTTTATACACTGTTAAGATATGATTTCAAGTGCTATTGAACCAATATGATTTCAAGAATCAAAACGATTTCATCTATCTTTTATATTTGGCAAAATTTGTCATTCTCCATTTATACAGTGAAAACCGACTTTTTTCACCCTGGCCATTTTTGACCGCCAAATATTTTAATAAGCTCTTTTCTATGTATTTTCGAAAAAAAAATTCATTTCGTCATTGCAAGTAAAATGTTCTTTGAATTATTTTAATCGGGGGCTGCGTTCTTTCAAAAACTAAATTCGAAAACGACTGGGCCTGCCTATTCCAAAAACTTATTAGCAAGTCATCACATCAATAGCAATAGGGTAAATTATAATAAGATATGGATAAGTTATAGTAATCGTTGAAAATCGAAAACAAAAATTTATCGTTTCGAAGGTTTCTGTACATTTGGGCAGAGCTCATAAAAATGGATGTATGTATGTGTGTGAGTGTGTGGTATACAATATTTTATCCATGGTCTTTGGGACCTTGGACTTTTATCCACGGAACCGACTTGAATTATTCAAGTCATATCCGAATATCCGAATATCCGAATATCCGAATATCCGAATATCCGAATATCCGAATATCCGAATATCCGAATATCCAAATATCCGAATATCCGAATATCCGAATATCCGAATATCCGAATATACGAATATCCGAATATCCGAATATCCGAATATCCGAATATCCGAATATCCGAATATCCGAATATCCGAATATCCGAATATCCGAATACGAATACGAATACGAATATCCGAATATCCGAATATCCGAATATCCGAATATCCGAATATCCGAATATCCGAATATCCGAATATCCGAATATCCGAATATCCGAATATCCGAATATCCGAATATCCGAATATCCGAATATCCGAATATCCGAATATCCGAATATCCGAATATCCGAATATCCGAATATCCGAATATCCGAATATCCGAATATCCGAATATCCGAATATCCGAATATCCGAATATCCGAATATCCGAATATCCGAATATCCGAATATCCGAATATCCGAATATCCGAATATCCGAATATCCGAATATCCGAATATCCGAATATCCGAATATCCGAATATCCGAATATCCGAATATCCGAATATCCGAATATCCGAATATCCGAATATCCGAATATCCGAATATCCGAATATCCGAATATCCGAATATCCGAATATCCGAATATCCGAATATCCGAATATCCGAATATCCGAATATCCGAATATCCGAATATCCGAATATCCGAATATCCGAATATCCGAATATCCGAATATCCGAATATCCGAATATCCGAAATGGAAATGGAGCGTCCGATTTGAATGATTTAAAAATCATTTTATTTTGATTCATGTAATGAAAAATAGAGTAAATTTTTGAAAATGCACATCCAGCGTTTCCCGATATACAGTAAAAAGTTAGAAAATATGTCATTTGACGGTCTAAAATCAGATATTTCTATTAGTTTATGAATGGATATCACAAACTCTCAAGAAATTAATAAAAAAATATATTTTCAAATTATATTTAAAAAAAAATCAGTTTTCAAAAAATATCAGTTGTTTCACAAATTTTAAAATTTTTCAAGAAGTATCATAATTTTTAAAAGATGAAGAACAAGAAGAACAATGTACAACAAATTAAAATTTTTAAAAAAGAATCAAATTTTTTTTCTGGACTTTTACCAAAGTACCAACATTTGCCTTAATTTATTGCTCAAACATTCAATTCTGGTAAGGAAAATTCCAGCAATTTATCTTAAGGCACGATATCATGCACAACTAGTTTATTGAAGGTATGTAATTGTCTTCTGATTTTTAGATCTTAACTTACAAATTGGCAAACCATATCTATAAAATGGAAGTAAATTCAATTTAAGTATTGTCAGCGCATTCTTTTAAAAATATAATATTTTTTGCACTATGTAAACACAATAAACCTAAGCAAACAATAAAAGTTAAAACGCGCCATTGTGTTCAGGCGTATTTTCCTTTTGCGGTTTATAAAAGAGTTATTTTATTTATTTATTACAAAACAAAAGTGCTAATTATTATACGAGAGGTCGCGCACATACATTGTTAAGTGTCAAAAAGATTATTCTCTGCTAAATATTGCTTCATTGGGTAAATATTGGATATGAATATGCAACATCGTTGACCAGCTTTATTTTTACAAGCTTGTTTGTTCGTTCTGGTCAAAGTATCTGGTTAGAATAACGATATTACGTAAACTTAGATATATATATATATATATATCTTATATATAAAAATGGAGCGCTCTTTCAAATGTCCAAGTAAAACTCGAAAACGGCTGAATCGATTTGG